CTTACGTCAAACTGCCATTCTGTACAGGTACAAAGGCTACAAAATAAGCTATACAAACAGACACCGATACAATTTACCTTTTTACATGCCATCTGTTTTGTCTATCAACAAGGCTACTTGCTCTACATTTCAGTAAAATATAAATCAGATGTTTTATAAAGATTAAAAAAAAAATCTACAGATGGAATGAAAATGTAAGTTGAAAGGCATTTCATAAAAGACCAACTTTGGAGTAAATTGACACTCATAATAATAATTTTGCGACTCTGCCCCATTTGAAATGTTTTCGTTTACGCTTCCCCTTTGATTTAGATTTCTACATGTACAAATACTGACATTGACTGTTCTTTGCTATTGTGACAGAAATTGCTTTAAATTGTATAAAAACAGAAAGCTGCCTCAGGTAAAGAAACTTATCATCAAGTAACAAATTATACATAATTAGCAATAGAACCTTCCAAGCCGAGCATGACGATGTTTTCAAATCTTTACAGTATTAGAATCAACAAAAATAGAGTTTAATTTTTCCTTCCATACGAGGGAAACCTAACCAAGGCCATACATTTAATATAAAATTGCTTGCTATTAAGCACAACACTGTACAGTACTACTTTGATGCACTGTCACTAACAAAGACGTTATAGCATGCTAAGTATAACCTTACATTTAAAAAAATATAAAAGTAGATTTACAATAATTTAAATAATAGGAAGGCATGAGTACAGACTTACATATATAACCTTGCGATTGCTAAAGGTACATTGAAAAGGCTCTTTTGTCCAAAAACATACATTGCAGGCACATTTAAAGGTTCCATAATGCAGGTTCCAACTTAAAGAAAATGTAACCTCCATTCAACTGCAATGCAGTTCGGGGGAGATTTACGCTTACACAAATGTTACATTTTAAATCTTATGCTGTAAGGCTTCCCATAAACAGGGGAAAAAAGCTAAAATGTAGCCAATAAACAACTTTTTTGCATTCTTACCAAGTGCTGGTTCTTTCAGAAAGATCCATAAAAGCGAACATTAACTATGAAAATAAGAACAAACTAAATACCTCAAGTCAACTAGCTGACTTTGCAACATCATGACGCTTCACTTTCAGGTTGCTGATTATCGTCTCATATAAGGCCCGTTTAAGGGTTGTTTGGACATGCCAGTATTCACATAACCATGATGACCTGCTGGGCTGTACATCATATTGCCATGGGGAGGAGCCTGCATGGGCTGCTGTGGGTAAGGCTGAGTACCCATCATGCCCATCTGCATAGAGTACTGTGGAGATTGATTCATATAGGTAGGATTGCCATGGTAGCCTCCGTTCATCATGGGCTGCGTCACTCTGTAAGTGTTCATCGCCATATTGACATTCACGTTCATCGAGTTGACATTGTAAGCCGGGGCGGGCATGAGGTTTACCCCCATGTTCATCCGCGACGGCATAGCCAGCGTCCTCCCAGGAGCCTGCATGGCTACAGTCTGAGGACCCCTACCATACATCTGCTGCTGGTGGTGGGGTGGCAGAGGGGCTGATTTGGAGCGGATTGACACGGGGTGGTGGTGGTGATTCTTGGGGGCCATTTGCGTTTGCAGTCTCTGAGATTGGGCCAGGTTCATGTTGGGTGTAGCCATGTTGCGCTGCAGCATCATGGGCGGTGATGTCATGTTGGGCGGAGGAGTCACAGTAGCCTGTGACTGAGGACCTCCACCAGGTTGCGACAGCGACACCAGCGCGGGATTGTGAGGACCGAGCTGCGTGGACAACGAGCCGTTGTTGTTTGCATAGGATGAGATGGAGTGTGAGGCAGAATGGCTGAAGGGCAAGGAGTGGTCCATGATGGTATTGGTGAGCTGTTGTAGTTTATGCAGGCTGAACGTAGCTGAGTGTTGACCATAGTGTCCACCTCCATACTCTCCCTGCCCCATTCGGTCATACAGGCCCAGGTTGCTGGAGGGATTGTTTGATTCTGGGATGTCAGGCAGCTGCATGGGTGGAGGGAAGTTGGCCGGCATGGAGCAGTGCGACAGAGGCTGCTGGTACTGGTGTTGTGGGTGTTGGTGATGTTGATGGTGCTGGTGATGGCTGTGGTGGTGACTGTGGCTATGCCCGTGCCCATGCCCATGGCCGTGTGGATGGCTGGGCTGCCTCTCCGGCACACAGCCTTGCGGAGACTTCACACTGCATCCCTGAGGGGAGCTCATGCTGGTTTGCTGGAGCATGCTGCAAGCGCCAGCATTGTTCACCACAGGACCGGCCATCTGCTGGGACACAGCACAGCTGCTCTGACTGTGGCTGCCACCGGAGGAGAGGTTGCCATAGGAACAGCTGCTCTGGGAGGAGGCGCCCGCTCCTGCTCCCGTGCCACAAATGCTGTTACCCAGCGTTGAGTCGTAACTACTGGGATTCTCGTAATTCTCGGTGGTGCTCTCAATGCTACCTAGGTCACTGAAGCCACTGTCCACCACCTGCTGAGAGTGGTCTGACACCGAGGGCACATCCATTATTGGACTAGTCTCCATGTTGTTATGAAGCGAGTGCACCGAGACAGTACCCTGATCAGGACTGATCTGCGTGTAACCATTTTCTAAAATGGACACTGCTGGACTGTTGACTGACCGTACAGATTGGCTCGGGTGAGAATGGACAGAAGACAGAGGGCTGCTGTGATTTGACTGCTGGCAGTCGTCCACAGGAGTCATCTGAGGGCTCTGCTCAACATGAACATACCGCTGTAGGCTGTGGCAGGCCTCCTGAGTCTCCACACAATCCTGAAAGTGCCTCTCCTGCTCAGACTCTTGAGTCAGAGACTGCACTGCTTGGGCTGTCTCCATGTCAAGCTCAGGGCAAATGTTATGGTCCTCTTTTATTGCCGGGGTCAACGGGCCCATATGCTTTTCTTCAGGCCTCTGACTGTTATCCTCATCCTCGGTTTCTGAGTCTGGAGGATGATCCGAGTCCACAGTGTCACCCTGTTGCACACCCAAGCTCACGAGAGTGCTTTCAGATGCAAGCTCCTCTAAGCAATGAGGCGGTGGGTCCACAGGGTTCGGCTGCACTTCAGGATTTTTATTGTTGTTACTAGGAGTTGGAACTGGCTCTGGGTCTTCCGTAAGGTCTCTTTCTGGTAGTGGCACCGGGTCATCTATTCTCTGCTCATGGCTGTCATCTTCATCATCCGCATCATGATCGTCCACATGAGATGGTTCTGGCTCTTCGTCTTCATCCTCTTCTTCATCTCGTTCACCTGAGCCCATACCAACCCTGCTTTCTGTTTCACCCTCTGGCTTCAGGTCTTTGATTTCCTCTGTATTTTGAGATGACTCTTCAGCATCATCTATTGGACCTGATTTTGTCTCATTGGTCTCATCACCACAGGGTGAATTTTCCACCATGTCAGATTTGTCTGTCGACTCATTTTCATTTACTTTGTGAGACTCGGATGGCTCGGGACTGTGGGGCTCTGAATCGCAGGGGTCCAGCTCTGGGTCCTCTGGTCTGGGCTCTCTAATGGACTCGCATGGCCCTGAGAAGGAGGCAGGGCTGGCATCCTGCTCCTCTTCTTGCTCCTGCTCCACTGTGACCATTGGCGTCTCAGGAGGTGTGTAGAGGTTGAGCTTAAAGCCCATTTTGCGTTCCTTTAGTCTCCATTTAGGAGGGCCTCGTTTGACACCTTTGGGCCAGCCTTTCTTCCGTTTTAGAGGTCGAGGATTGTCCTTTTTCACTGCTTCAGAAACACCAAAAAAGATGTCCCATGTTAACTTATCTTTCAAATATGCAACAAAACAGTATGTTGTAAATATTAACATGTATAGCTTTACCTTCCACATTCCCTCCTTCTTTAGATTGATTTGAGTGATTGTCATCTTCATATCTCCTTGGTCTACCAGGCCGACGCATGGCTAATCTCTGGCTCTTCTCCTCTTCCTCATCCTCACTGCCACCCCTCCTGCTGGGCTGTGGCAGAGGGCTTTCCACATCAGAGTTTTCGAATGGCTCATCTAACACCTCTGTTCTCTCTGAGATGGTCTCGGTCGTGACACTGCTGTTGATTCGTGTTCTCCTCCTTCCTCTCTTCCGTCGCAGAGTTGGTGCCCGCTAAGAAAAAAAATCAAACAAACAAACAAACAAAATTAGCATATTGTATGCTTGAGAACAACTTGTGCTTGAGAATGGAATAAATACAGAGAGATGTCAAAGACTTTTAGACTTAACAACTGTCATATCAAGAGTTAGCCACTTTTTTGTCAAATTGTCCCTGGTGCCCTTTAATCCAAAAAGCAGAGGTTTGGAGGAGACAGATACGGTCAAGGGTGATGCTAAACATAGGGAAATGTGGCTGCATTGTAAATGGGTTGCTTCATGATCTAAATGCAAAAGCCCATCATTTAGACCACAGTGCCTCCACCACAGGCCATTCATTTGGAAAGCTTAGCCTGCCCAAAACCCCAAATGAGAGTGTGCAGAATCAAGCTGACCGCAAGTTCCTCACAACATATTCTCCCCCAGGCATTCTGGGATAGCAGTACCCCAGTGCAAATAATCTGCAGTATTACTTGGTGATACAGAACCAAGATTTCCCACACAAATCATGAAAGCAATATTACTTAATTATGGACTTAAGGACTGATGGAAATTTCTGGCAAATGGATAGTTTTGGATCTTTTTCCATCCAACTAAACACACCTCCCAAATGATGAAGGAAATTCAACGTGAACAATGTTGATACAAAGAGAACTAGAAGAAATGCACACTACCATTGATTCTGATCTTTACCTTTCGCTTGAGCCCCTGCCCAGATTGGGATTTGAATGCACCGTCTTCACCATCGTCGTCTTCATCATCATCATCACTGCTGCTTTTTTCACTCACTTCGAAATCTTTCCCAGCACTGTTGGCAAACAGTGGGTCTGAGTATCTTCTGCTGAAGTTCTTGCACTTGGTTAGTGGAGGTCTTGTGCTAGTGTAACCCATCCCCATTGTCAAATTCCTGGTTGACGCACTACAGCCTGCACGACGATCTGCCTGTTATGCCACAAAAACATAAACATGAGCTTGTCTGAGTCACTCTGTACAGGCTGAAGCCAAGCAGACAAATAACATCTCAGTTATCCATTTTGCTTCCGCAGCGCCCCTGCAGTGCAGAGATTGTCTCTTGATTAGCCGTTGATCTCAGCAACATTTATTCTTAAGCGGCTGTGGAAGATTACATTTCATGGGACATTCAGAGGCATTAATAATACAGGGCTTTGATTTAGGTCACTCAAGAAGCTGGGTTACTGTTGAAAGTGCTTTCAGCTATCTCTGTGAACTCACCCTGAACTCCTGAAAGACAAACGATGGGATAAATTTAGCTCACTTTTCATGCAAGCATCATCTTGTAGCTAATAATGCAGAGCCAAGTAAGGAATGAGTGACCTGCACTCATTGTGATCGCCATGATCTGCCTATTGAATAGGTTTGAATTTAAAAACATAAGCTTTGATTTTAGACACAGCTACCAGAACAGCCTTTGATCATCTTACCAATAATGGTCGAGTTCAGCATTATGCAAAAAGAGTCAGGTTGTGTCAGAGGCCAAAAGGAAACAATAAAGGGGCATTTTCCAAAATGCCATATCTGCAAACGTTAATAATGCAGACAAAACATAGTAATTTGATGCGAGACAGCTGTAATTGTAAAGTGGACTTCAAGTCACCCTGTGGAATGAACTGATCAAGCCTCTGTATATGCCAAGAAAACCACCTAGATGTTTGTTGTATATTTATATAAAGGTTGTTGCAGAGGATTCACTCTCTATGGATTAAGCAACAGTATTAATGCAGTGCCTACTTCTGGGGGCTTTTTTGACATTTGAAACAATATAGGTATAACTATGGTTGTCTGTGATTACCACACCAACGTAACGTGATTTAGTTACACCAAGAGCACTGATAGTGAGTAGAAAGTCTTTCAAGACATGTATTCGAAAAATAAGTAATCTGAGCAAGTAGTACATCTGCTGCCATAGATCTTTTCTTTGTTTGTGGACAAAGTCAACAGAAAGAAGAATGAGAGAAGCCAGATTTTCTGCCAAATCAAACCTGAAAGCTCTGAATATAAATCATTATTAAAAGCTTATCATAGTGACTGCAGGGTAAAGCAAAAATGTGGTTTTAAACATTTCACTTATCGATTTATTTGTACTGGCTCAATCCATTTCTAATGGGAAATTTAACAAGAAATCCTTGATAGTTTAGCTTTAAGTATTAGAGCACTCTGTACTTGGAGAGAAAAACAAATAAAAACTGGGTTCACTAAAATCAGTTGTGTTCAGTCCCTGATCAAACCATGAATAGACCTTTAAGCCTACCTGTGCTATAGCCCTCTTCAGCTCCCCTGGTGGGCTTCTACAGACTGAACCTGGTGTCCAGCTCAGGCAGTCAGGGTCAACCTCATGAAGACGTGGCTTCATTCTCAGTCTATCCATGTGCTCCTCAATTAGCTGATGTCTTCGGATGATTACAAACCTAGACAAACATATAATATTTAAAAAATAACATAATATTAAAAACTAAACCATGAATAGACCTTTAAGCCTACCTGTGCTATAGCCCTCTTCAGCTCCCCTGGTGGGCTTCTACAGACTGAACCTGGTGTCCAGCTCAGGCAGTCAGGGTCAACCTCATGAAGACGTGGCTTCATTCTCAGTCTATCCATGTGCTCCTCAATTAGCTGATGTCTTCGGATGATTACAAACCTAGACAAACATAATATTTAAAAAATAACATAATATTAAAAACAGATTTTCTGCACCAAGTATGAGAAACTGTAATTCAGTATTGATGCACATGCAAATATAGCCATAATTGTGGCTTTATTTAAATATATTTAAATCTAATAATCTTTGTTTAAATCTAATAATGTCTTCAGAGATGATGCAGTACACTGAAAGCATGAGAGTGAATTGTCAGATTGACAGATACCACCACAGTCAAACCCACCTGCCATCCTGGAAATCAATCATGTTGAGCTGCTGAAGTGTGGTAGCGATGTCATGTGGACACATGCCCGTGGCTCGGCTCATTCCCCTGATGCTGACACTCTTATCTGGGTGGTTGTGCAGGTACTCCAGTATGACACTTTTCCAATAAGCCAAGTAGGACAGACGACCCAGATCAGATAGAGGCTTCTCTGGGGAGCCAGCCCGACCCTCTAGCCTGGAAAGTAAGTAACCTGGAAAGACAGAAAAAGAGACAAAGAGAGGAGATGAGGAAAGATTGTTTATGAGTATTGTTGTCAGATCGGGTTCGAGTGTCACTGACAAAACATAAAACAACTCAATCACAATTTATGAAGACATGGAGTGATGCTTATATGCAGCTTCTTAAGGTCTTAGGGCACATTTCACAAGGTTGGATTGAATGATATTTTACATATGAACACATGCAAGTTTCTCATCAAAGCCAAAGTGTTATTTGTAAGGAATTTAATGATTAAAGTTTTGATTCTAATGGCTAAAGACTTGTCTCAGTTCTTGTGATGTCAGTGTTACATTTAAAAAAAGCAGTATTACAGTACAATATTTTACTAATGGATAAAAACAGAGAAGACAATAACAAACCAGTCCAGTCCAAGTGACAGATACACACACACACACACACAAATATAAATAATATATGTAATTTAAATTTTACACCGACTCATAAGAGTTATTCATTTACATATCAAAAAAAAAAAAGTGGTCCTTTTTTTATTGGTTAAAATTCGAGCTGATCCTGTGCTAAGCAAAGTCAGATTTAGATTATTTTTTATACTTTAAGTATTTTAGACTTTTGCATTAACACAAAGTATGCAAATGCTCCTCTGATTCTACACAGAGAGCAAATCAAAACATTCACAAGCAAACAAATTATATCATGCACTACATTCAACTGTATATAAAGATATGCAAACCCAGTACTCAGTACAACGAAACAGGCATTCTTTCCATCATGACTGTCTAGTCTGAAACAGATCCTCTTTTTGCTTTCATGCAAAGCACAGAAGCATCCTTTCATGATGTAAACAATCTTATGCTCACATTTCTTAAGACTTCCAAACCAGTTAATGAATAACTTACTGAAATCAATGAGGAACCTCCCAAATCCTTGCCTTTGGTACTGAGGCATGATCATTATGCAGGAGACATTGTACTTCTGCTGGCAAAGCTTTTCCTGTGGGAGAGAAAGATAGAGTGTGTCAGCACACTGCCAACGCATGCAATTCACTGCACCTGGCATTGTCCTGAACTGAACCAAACAACCACACAAAACCCTTCAAACATATTGCAGAAAAAACGGGCACCGTACAAGAAATTCTTCAGCAGCCCACTAGATAACCTGCTGTTACTCTTACTGTACTTCACTGTCATAGGATTACATATATAATTCATATTGTATCTATTTAAGTGTTGTAATACCTTTGAGAAGTATCCAAGAAGATGACAACCCTTCTCATCATTCTGTGTTAGAACGTAGAAGAGAAAAGGCTCCACATCGTAATACAATGTCTTGTGGTCCAGAAAAAGTTTTGCAAGCAAACAAAGGTTTTGGCAGAAAATTTTGCTGATATTTCCATCAACCTGAGCAAAGAAGACAAAATAGAAAACAATTAAAGCCAGGTAGGCCATACAAGGACAGCTCCTGCTAGTGGAGCACATGTGAAGTTCACAACTCATAAACAGAGTGCAATGAAAGGTCTTAACACTTTTGGAGGATTGCTAGGTTTCTAAAGCATTTCCTGTTCACTAGACAAACAAGATACAGAGTCCTTGAAGAATAATTATACAGAAGCCTTGAAGGCTTAATCTGACATGATTAATTCATGCAAGTCCAGTTCTCATTCATGATGCTCAGATGTGTCTTTCAACAAGCTTAGCACTTCATAGCCTTTAATCTCTGGACATAACCCCCTCTTGTTTTAATTGCAAATGCAGATGATAAATTAGGATGCAAATGAAGTTTCATGTGCCCCTTGTGCAAGATTTAAGAGCATGCACTGACCTCAAACACAGAGAGGTTTTCCTTCCTGTAGATCTCATTTGCTGGCGGGTGAAACCATCCACATTTATTTGAATGCCTCTGCAGAATGTCCTGGCTTTTCAAGTACTTTAAGCAGAACTCGCAGAGATAAAGCTTCGGCAATCTGAGAAGGTGAGCAGCAATGAATTATAACCAAAAATGTGGCATAAGTTACAAGAGCAGGGAGAAACTCTAAATCACATACTAGTTTACATTTGCTTAAGACTGTCTCAGGCAAACATTTTGAAAACTGCTGTAAAAAAATTTCTGTTAATTTAGACTTACCTTGTGTATTCTGGAGGGTATAGTGAGGAATACCAAGTTTGTATTTCATATTGCCCAAACTCAATCAAAGGAGGGGATTGTCCTTGATCGCCACCAGTTTTCTGTTTTTGAAATAAATCACAAGTTAGAAACAGAATTAAAACACTTAAAAGAATTAGACTTTTCTATTACAGCCACAAGGCTATGGTGTTTGCCAGGGATTGTATCCAGATGCTCTAATTAAACCAGGCTAAGCTGGTTTGCTGGTCTAATGTGACTTAAGCTAGAATTCCAGTAAGAAAAATACCCAAAACCTCTCTAAAACCAGCCAAAAGACCAGACTTGGAGACCAGTTAATAGGGCAGCACAATATAGGGAGAATAGTAATAAAAATAAATAAAAACAGTAAACAAAATGAAATACCACTATTGCAAATTTTCACTGTAAAATATTTAAGAAAAAGATCATTATTTTATTTTACAGTACAACTGTAAAATTACAGTAGCAATATTTAGGTCTTCAACTTCAACTTCTTCAACTATCAAGCTTTTATTTAGGCGAAAAACTGCAGTGAGCTCTTAAACCTCTTCTGTTGACAACGGGTGGTTTACTCCCCACACCTTTGCTGTGATCTCCTTGACGTGTCTGAACAATTTCAGATCCTCTTCAGCCACATGGTCATTGAGTAAAGTCATCCTTCCTTCCTGCGGTTCTCTTCTTGAGCATCTCTTGGCATTAAAGGCTGTGAGAGGTCATAGAAAAGCCCTTTAAAAGTCGATATTTGCAGAATATAGTACAAAAGAACTGAAAAGATGCTGACACAACAAAACCCAAAGCTAATATAAACAAGCACTAACCTTAGACTTGATAACATGGCATTCAAAATCACAACTGCTAGCATGCAAATCACTACTGTCATGGAAAGGTAGGCTGATAGGAAAGGCTCATATCAACATTGCTGGCCAACACACTAACCTCAAACCTCTAACCACACATCACAGTTTGTTTCTAGGCAACAGTGACCTCTAAACAAATACTCCATTTGTGCAGAGGTTGAGAGGGAACCAAACCAGGAGCAAGGGTCATTTGAAATGCAAACACTTTACATTAAAGTGCTTGTTACTAAAGGGAAAAAGCATTAATAACTTTGGTTTGAGAGGCAGGTGTGAGCAGCATGAGGACATGAGCAGAGAGCAGAAATCTAAGGCTTTAGTGGCTTCAGAATTAATAAAAAAATACTGAAGAAAAAGGTTACAACCAAAAATGCAGAGATGCAGTATTAGTAGAAAAACAAAAATCCATGTTATTTGGCTTCGAAATAAGGAATATGAGTAAAACGGTTGAAGATGAAAAAGACAGTTGGCTGTTTGGAGGTTTAGGCCCCTGTGCTTACCATGGTTTGGGTCTGGTTTTACTCTTCCGTCTGTCAATCTGCCCTTCCCTGGTGTGGTGTTCTCCCTCTGTGGGGAGGCCTTAAACCTAAACCTGCCTAGCAGCTTGTGTTTTCTCAAGAAGGGAGTTCGTTTGAAATGGAGTGCCGACTTAAACGGCCGGCCCCGCTTGGGTGCCCATCCTGATGCTGAACCGGACAGGGATGCTAATTTACTACCAAAACCCTTGACAGACTTCTTTCCTTGAAGCTGCAGGGACATTTTTGGTGAGGTGGAAATGTCCTGGCTGCGGCGCGCTCGCTTGGGCGGTGCGTAGCTGGGGAGTCCCTTTTGCCGGGACTGTCCCTGAGTGGTAAAGATGTGAGACAGTCCATCAAAGAGTCCCTTCAGCTGGTTGTTGCCTGGTATACTACTGAGGGACGGGCCGCTAGACTGGGAGGAGGAGCTGTGGGGGGAGTGGGCGGAGGAGGGTGAGGAAGACTGGGTGGGGTTCAGCGAGATGGGGCTGTGTCCTTGTGAAGGGGACGGGGTAAGGAGAACGCTAGACGGGGTGTTTAACCTCACACCTGGCGTCGTCACGCTGGCATGGCATTTCCGATAGCCTCGTTTCCTCTGCCTGTGCTGATTCGAGGAGCCCGACGTCTCACCGTGCAACCGGCGACCCAAGGGTGATGGCGTGAAAAATTTGGAAAGCCCGTCAATGAGACCTTTGGTTTTCTTGTTGATTGGGGGCAACTTAGTGAGGGTGGGTGTGGATGTGAGGGGGTCTGTGAGACTCCTGCCGTCTGTGGTGGGTATAAAGGTGCTTGATGAGGGTGGGGTACAGAAAGTGCTTATGGAACCCCTACCATGCCGTGCTTTTTCAGACAGCTCAACGGATCCCAGACCACTACTGTCAGACCTGTGAAAGCAGATGATGGTTGCATTTAAAACACGAGCCACAAATGAATGAGAATCTCTGTGCACATCTAGACTGTGACTAAGCCTAAGCCTTGGTTCGCGCGTTAAATATCGCATGCGATTTATCGTGCAGCCCTAGTTCAAGAGCCTGATTTCACAACAACACGTTTCACCGTGTCTATCAGTGCTCATCAAGCCTTTAGGAAAGATGTAATCCCTCAAGTACTGCACATTTAAAAGCTTGCTGACCCAGACTCACCCAGTCCGACTGACAGCATTCCAACTGAGCTTTACTACACAGCCATATGCTAAAAATAGACTTGCAAAGATTGCCCCAGGCTAAAAGTACATTGTAGAAGCCATGCTAATTTTATACCTTTTGGATGAGAGGGTGTGAAAACCTACATATACTCTCAAGGCAAGATTGTGAAGGACAAAAATCAGAGTAGGCCATCAAAAAAAGCATTTACAGTTTAGGCAACATACTGATGTGAGACCTGTAACCTTAAGCCTGAAGCATAACGAACAAGATAGATGAAATGAGTTATCGTACACTGTTGGATGTGCTAGATTTTTTCTTGGCCTTCCTGGCTTTGCATATCGCCTTTTGATCTGGGCCGCTGTCTTGTGTAGCAACCGTTTTCCCTCCTGCTCCTTTGGCCTGCATACTTGGCAGATCCACATTCCTGGGGGAGGTCCAGGGAAAAAAAGAGAGAGAGAGAGAGAGAGAGAGAGGGAGGGAGACACAAAAAGAGAGAAGCATTTCAAGGATGGTTCATCATGTCTGTAGCCGTGACACTTTTCAGATATGTCTTTGTAGTGCTGAGCAGAGATGACCCGCTGTGCCTTTCCCTTCATTTCCACTGTCTTTAGAAGAAAAGAAACAGAGCAAAGAAAAACAAGCTTTCTACAGGTAACATACCAACAAGGAAACACTGAATAAATGGCTTTGAAGTTGTGTGAGGTGCCCTTTTCCTGACATGGCTTCAGCCTTCTCATCCTCTTTAGAGAGGAAAATAACAAATGAACACAAAAGGAATGATTAGACCTTTAGTTGATCAGATTTCACATAAGTAATTAAAGCTAATTTTGCATTGATGTTTAGTATAGAACTGAAGCTCTCAGATATCTTGTGCAAAAGTATGTGGCACTGATTCACAAGATAAGCATCACATCCTACAACAGAGAGCAATTTCACAGTGGCGACCACATGGAATTGCAAAAATTAATAAAGATACAGAAGCTGACAGAGGCCAAGCATTATTAATTTTCTGTATTCTTGTGATCTTGACATAAAGAGCACAAATAAAAATCTTGACAAATGTTATATTGACAAAGCAAGAAAAAAAAAATGTATAGCCTCACAGACAGACTAATTTATTTGAGGCCTGATATTAGAAAAAAATGTCAGTCATTATAATGTTTGGCTTTTTCCATATCATTAAAAACGTCTATTGCAAGTTTGTAATTTTGTCTGCAGTAGACGGTCACATACTCCCACAGGGCCATTCACACAGGAAGCATTCTTATTGCAGAAATGCAGACAGACATCTTTGGTCTCTCTGTTAGCGTTATTTTTGCTATAATTAATCACACTAAATTAATGTGTTAAATTGACATCCTTAACATTCAAGTTTTAGTTAAAGCATTTTCTTTCACCCATAACAAAACCCAAATGAAATTTGATGGGATTTCACATGGCAGAATGTCACCTCCCTCCAGCAGTTTCAGACATTCAGCACTGAAGGCTCCTGTAAAAATTAAGTGAAATGAACCTGTTCTGCTCTATTGAAACACTTTATGATGCTGCTCCCTTTTTATCTTGGCACTTACATGCCCATTTCAGACAAACTGCCATTAACTGAAAAGGACAAGCACAGTCATTTGCAAGCCAGAGGCAAAATCATTAACAATGAGAAAGAGACTGGAAAGAGAGGGAGAGAGAGACAGCCACTAAATAGTTCACGACGTAAGGTACGCATCATCGTACTATTATGTAACCAGAAGCCTTTGTGTAATGGCACATTTAACAGCTTCACCTTGAGAATGGAAAAATCCA